AAAGTCTATATAAAATAATACTAAACCACTGTTGTATGTAAAGTAAACAAGGTTTACAAAATGTTTAAGAAGCTTCATTTAAAATTAAATTAAAATGCTGATCTTAAGCTGCCGACCTGCTCAGCCCGCTGCCAGCCTGGGGTTCCGTTCACCTAGGCCGACAGCAGGCTGAGCGGGGCCTGCGGCCGGAACCCCGACTGGCAAGGGGCCGGCAGCCAGAACCCCGGGTTGGCAGCGGGCTGAGCAGGGCCAGCGGCTGGGACCCCAGCTGGCAAGGGGCGGCAGCTAGAACCCCAGACCGGCAGTGGGATGAGTGGGGCCGGGGGCTGGGACCCCAGACCAGCAGCGGGCTGAGCGACTCAGCCCGCTGCCGGTCTGCAGTTCTGTCTGCTGGCTCGTGCCAGCCAGGGTCCCGGCTGCCAGCCCCGCTCAGCCCGCAGCCAGTCTGGGGTCCCGGCTGCCGGCCCCGCTCAGCCCGCTGCCAACCTGGTGCTCAGGCTGGGGGGTGGGGATTTGGGGGGTGCAAAAGTCAGGGCATGGAGTGGGGGGGGCTGGGTATGTGTGGGGAGTGCAGGAGTCAGGGCAGGGAGTTTGGAGGAGCTGGGTATGTGTGGAGAGTGAAGGGGTCAGGGCAGAGGGCTGAGGGCGTGTGAGAGGGTGCAGGAGTCAGGGCATCGGGTGTGAGGGGGCTGGGTATGTGTGGAGGGTGCAGGAATCAGGGATGGGGTCATGGGGGGGGATGAAGGGGAGTGAGGTGCAAGGGGGGTGCAGGGGTCAGGACAGAGGGCTGGGCTGAGATCAGGAAAGTGCTCCAGCCCCCTGCCCCCTGAGCGGCTCACGGCTGGGGGCTGGAGGGATACACCCCGCTCCTACCCTCCTTCCCCGTGCCTCTTCTCCGCCTCCTTACCGGTCTGAGCAGCGAGGGCGCTGGGGCTGCTCTTCTCCCCTCCCTTGCATGGGCCATCGGCGGCAGGGAGGGAGAGGAGGCGGGGTTCAACACAGCACGCTGGGGGAAGAGGTGGGGGGAAGGGGGAAGCTTGGCTGCTGGCGGAGCCTGCCATACAGCAGCAGCCGGCAGGACCAAGCTTGCTTCTGCCCCCTACCCCGCCAGAGAGAGCGGTAGGCAGGGGGCAGAGAAGAGCGGGCTGGGTCAAGCAGAATTTTTAATGGCACGCTGCTGCCTGCTGGGGTCCGAATCAGCCCGCTGCCGGGGTTCGGCAGTGGGCTGAGCGGGACCCTGGCGGGCAGCAGCATGCCATTAAAAATCGGCACGCGTGCTGTCTTTGGCACGCATGCCATAGGTTGCTGACTCCTGCTGTAAATGGTACTAGATGAACAATGGCAGATGACAACGATGGGACTCTCTAGAGTATTGAGGTCTTTTCCTCAGCAGGTGCTGTGGGTATAAAACAGCATCCTCTGCCATCAGTTGTGCAGCTTTTGGTAAGGAGCTGGTGTACATATCCAAAAGGATCATAGTGTGGCCTGTGAGTCTTTCAGTTAATGGAGTGTTTCATCTATTGCTAAAAAGCGCCATCATGTCAAATGGTCCTCTATGGTGGCATGCAACGCTTGTCGGAAGCCTAATGCTAACAGCCACAAAGATCTCTTCATGACAATGGCCATGGCCATTGCCCTTGTGGCCATGTCAGATGACTGCTTATAGAGCTGTTCTGGCTGCCCTTTGGCCCTCTTATGATCTCCTTTGGTTCTTCCCTATTTTCCTGTGGAATTTTGGAGAGGAAGAGGTGACTCTCCCCCAGGTAAGGAAGTTATATTTTGCAAACATGGCCTGGCAATTAATGCAGAGCTATAGTAAGTGAGAGGAATATACCTTAAGTTAAGACCAACAAGATCCTTATTTTCTGGGTCCTTTTCTTTTGGAGTGACCATGAGGTGAGGCAGTTGATGCTGTACAAGGGACTTGACAACATTTTTAAAAAACAAACAAACAAACAAAAGACTCCAGTTCAAAAAGGCGAAGACAAAGTTTTTCAGCAATTTTTGTGAAACACACAGGTTTTGAAGCTCTCAAGAAAGCAGTGGGTTGGACACTTCCTAGGATCCATCTCATTATCGTGGGCGGTAAGAGGAAACTGGGGGAGAGTTATGGCCGCTTTGCCCTTTATACCTGGAATGAGAGCAGGAGGCAGCACAGGACACACAGGTGACCCTGACGGACACTGCTGTTCAAAAGAATCTGATCTTGCGCACAAGGCACATATGCGCCTACAGTGGGAGCCACACAGACACATACTCAAAGAAAAATAATTAGTCCTTCAGCCCGTCTTTCTGATATTTATAAATGCTTTCATTAATTGTTCAGATGACAAACAGACAAAGTATCACGAGATACTGCAGGCAAGAAATTCTAGGAATTGCCTCAAAAGTAAATTAAAGCAGTTTATAAATACAAGAGTAATACAAGCAGACTCATATTTTTGAACTGCAAACCCTTATAAATTAATATTTCAATTGCTATGAGAACCTTATCAGTTGCATTTATTTTAATTTCACAACTGAACTACAACATATTAAAACTTCAATATATACTTTATTACTAGAGAAAAGAAATTCTGGATACATTTTAAGAGGTAATTTTCCACTGCATTATTAAAATTAATGTGAAATACAGATAAGCTAAAAATGTCCTAACTTTAAATATTCAAGTTTCTTTTAATATTGCTTTTGTAAGGGGACATAATTTAGTGCTCAACTGAATGATTATTAATTCGATAGACTGGTTTGCATAGCCGTCTCTGGTTAATGAGTTAATACTAGAAGTTTATGGACAACTCATGAAACATGTACCACAAGTGACTACTTCACTCATAAATATGGATGCCTGGACGCCTAGTTCTGCAATTCAATAAACTAAGTATTTGCTGCAGGATGAAAATAAGTGTGTGTTCTCTTATTCTAAATTTCATAAAACAAATATTTTCTTCCATTTCATATCATAATTCCTTCTGTATTTTTTCAAGCAGTTGTTTCCTCCCCGTGCAAAATTACACACCTGAGAAGAAAGCCGTGCTGGGATCCTGGTGACTGTCTGGGGCACTTGGGAGAGGGCTCTTCCAACAAACGACCAGTAACATCTATTTTTTCTGAGGTAGCCAACGAGCGTTTTTTCTGATTTTGGTAATTCCCTGTACAATTAAATCCTTATTATTCTTCTGAAAAAATATACTGGTCAAGTTAACCCAAAACAAATATTAAAAAAAAAACTAGGGCTGTTGATTAATCACAGTTAACTCATGCAATTAACTTAAAAAAATTAAATATGATTAAAAAAATTAATCGCGATTAATCGCCTGTTAAACAATAGAATACCAATTGAAATTTATTAAATATTTTTGGATTTTTTCTATATTTTCAAATATATTGATTTTTATTACAACACAGAAAATACGAAGTGTACAGTGCTCACTTTATATTATTATATTTTATTACAAATATTTGCACA